TACAGAGTTTTTGTATGTGATCAAAATCAAAATCAAACTGTGATCACTTATGGTAGAAGGGTATAACTGTATAGTTGATATAAGCTTCATGTTAACTACAAAATAAAAACATGAAGTAGATACACAAAGGAGAAAGAACAAGTCAGGCATGCTATAACTCCAGTACTTGGAAGGCTGAAATCCAAGGATCATGAATTCCAGGCCAGCCTGAGCCACATGGGGAGACCCTTTCTCAAAAAGAGAGATAAAGAGAGACAGAGAGAGAGAGAGAGAGAGAGAGAAAGAGAGAGAGATAGATGAAGGAAAGAAATCCTGTATTCCATAAATACATGCAATTATTTGTCAATTAAAAATAAGACAAGTAAGTGGAAAATGAAACACTAAGAAGAACAGACATATGAAAATACTTTAAGTTAGACAAACTGGGATTGATATACAAAACAATAAAACATATTCAATAAGAAAAATCTCATTGTATCCTGAACACTAAACCTTTATAATAGCAACTAACACTTGTATGTAGAGTATTAAAAAGCTGAATTTCTAGAAACAGAGAGTAGAATCAGACCATAGTTTTCAGGAGTAGGGAAATTGAGAAATGAGAAGATATTGGTCAAAAAGTATACAGTTTCAGTTAGATCCCAGTTCTGGGATCTAATGTTCAGAATGGTGCAATATGTTTAACAGTGCTATATTGTACATTGAAATTTGTGAAGAGCATAGATCTCAAATGTTGTCACTACCAAAACCAACGAACAAAAGCAAAAATCTATGTGAAATTATAAGTTAAATGATTGTGATAATCATTTCACAATGTATGCCTATATCAAAATATCACATTGCATACAGAAATATATTGCACATAGAAACAGATTTATTTTTTCAATTAAACCTAAAAAGACATGGAAAAAATTAAATTTACTTAAAGGAAATATAGTTATGCTTGATGAAGTTTACAAAATATATTGTCTTTAGCTTTGTGGGGGTGGGTGGATTTTCTTTGGGTTTTTGGTGGGACTGGGGTTTGAATTTAGGGCTTCATGATTGCAAAGCAAATGTTGTACACTTGAGCCACATCTCCAGACCAAGGTTACAAAATATAAGAAGATATAAACAAAGATTTAAAAAGGCCGAACTACATGCTGCTTGTCAGAAACCATTAACAAAAAAAAACCTAAAAACAAAAGAATAGAAAATTCTATGCAAATAGGAGCCAAAAGAGAGCAGTGGTATCTATATTTATATCAGACAAAATATACTTTATGTCAGAAACAAAGGAAACCATTATATAATGGGAAAATGGAAATTTATTAAGAAGGTATAACAATAATAAGCAGTATGCACCCAACATCTGAGCACCTAAATATATACAACAAACATTAACAGACATGAGTGGAAAATAACCATCAATACAATAATATTAGAAGACTTCAATACCACAGTTTCAATAACGAATAAGTCATCCAAACAAAAATATCAATAAGGAAATATTGCACATGAACTACACTAAAGACCAAATGGAGCCATCAGACATATGCAGAACAGTCTACTCAGCATAAGCAGAATATATATTCTTCCCAAGTGCCACAGAACATTTTTCTGGATGGATCATATGTCAGGTCATGAAACAAGTCTAAATAAGAATGAAGAAAGAGAGAAGATTTAAATCAGAAATGAAAGAATAGGGAGCGGGCAGGAGAATGTAATAGGGGATGAATACAATTGATGTGTATTATATATGTTTGAAAAATGTCATAATGAAACCCACTATTTTGCACAATTAATATACACTAATAAAAAAGAGAAAGACATGAAAGCGGCAACAACATTACAGATGCCTCAGAAATAAAGAAGGATAATAAGGCACTTATATGTCAATCCTAGAAAAATTGGATAAATACCTGAAAACAACCTACAAAGATCAAATCATGAAGAAATAGAAAGCTGAGCCAACCAATTATAAATTTTAAAAGAGCCCAGAGCCAGATGATTTTATAAATGAATACTATCAGACATTTTAAATGAACAAATACTAATCCCTCTTGAAATATTTCAAAAAAGTTGAGGAGTAATACAAATTAATTATGAAGCTCATTTCCCCCTATACTAAATCTATACAAATACATTCCACCAGAAAAATTATAAGCCAGTATTTCTGCTGAATATAGATACAAAAATCTTCCAAAATTACTAGCAACCCAAATACAACAAGGCATCAATAAGACTATACATCATTACAAAGTGATTCAGAAAAGGCATTTGACAAAGTTCAATATAATTTCATGATTAAAAAACCCAAAAACAAATTTCCTCAACCCAACAGAGGTCATTGCGAAAACCCACAGCTCCTATGAGAGTCAATGGGGAAAAACTATAATCTTTTTTTCTGGTGATAAAAGGCAACAATGCCATTATCTCCACTTCTGTTTACCCAAGTACTAGAAATGTTAGAAAGAAAGAGATCAAACAAGAAAAAGAAATATAAGGAATACAGATTAGAAAGAAGTAAAATTATCCTTGTTAGTACATGACATGATTCTATATGTATGCCTTAAAGATGTCAAGAAAATCACTATGAGAAGATGTAAATGAACTCAGTAAAAATGCATTATATGAAATTAATATATAAGAATCAATTGCATTTCTTTATTCCAATAATGACTTATCCAGAAAAAATCAAGAAAACAATAAGACAAAAATATAATATAAAACATTGAAATACTTAGGAATAAACTTTACCAAGGAGATGAAAGATGTACACTGAAAACAATAAATGAGTGATCTCAAGAAATAGAAGACAGCAATTAATGTAAAGATATCACATGTTCACAGAATGGAAGAATCAAGATTGTTAAAATGCTCATAGTACCAAAAACAATATACAGATTAAATATATGCCCTATCAAATTGCATATTTCATATAAATAGGGAGAACAATTCCAAGCTAACTACCCAAAACAAAAACAAAGTGGGTGTAGGTAAAGCAGTACTGGTTGGGAGATTTATAACACTAAATGTTTTTATTAGAAAATTGAGAAGTTTTTCAAAGCAATATTTTCATTTCATACATCAATAAATAAGAAGAAGACAGAAGAAAGTAATAAAGATAACAGGAGAAATTAATAAAATTTAAAATAGGAAAATAATGGAGGAAGTCAGTGAAATAAAAAGTCTGGTCCTTGAAATAAAGAAAATCTGACAATCCTGACAAAAATCAAAAGAAAGAATGAACATATCACCAACATCAGATTAAACAGGAGACATCACTACAGATCATGCAGCCATTAAAAAGATAAAGGTATACAACGAACAAGGTGATAAAGGTATACATATACACCTGAAAACTTGGAAGAAATACACTAAAGCCTTAAACCACAAACTACAAAAACTTAATTATAATGAAATATGTATTCAGAATATTTTTATAGCCATTGAAAATTGCCTGATTTATAATTTATAATTTCATAGTAAATTATAAATCCAAGGTTTCACTAATAAGTACTTGAAAACATTTAGCAAATAGAAGAGGAGTAACAGTGTTCTAACTCACTTTCAAAGGCCAGTCTTTCAAAAATATTATTAAATCAATTCAAGTAGTGTATATAAAGAATTATGTACCATGACTAACTGCAATTTATCCTAGGTATGAAAGGTAATACAATGGGCAAAAAGTAATTTATATCATCCAACATATCAAAAAGTTAGAGAATAAAATAATTGAACATGTATAGCTGTTCATTAACAACTATTTGATTACATGTAATGCAATACGGCAAATTAACAGAATAAAGGAAGAAAACGCATAATTATCTCAACTAATATTGTCATCATAAAAATACTCAACAAACTAAGAATAGAAGGAAACTTCCTTAACATAATTAAGTCCTTATTAATCTATGAACATCATACTCAGTGGGAAAGGAATATAATTTTTTCCTCTAAGAAAAGGAAAACCTCAAAGATGAACTTGACACTTCTGTTCAATAGAGTACTGGAATTTCCATCCAGAGAAATTTACAAGGAAAAGATACAAAGGACATCTAAACTGGAAAGGGAAATGTAAAATTATAAATTGGGAGGAAAAGTGGGTCATGAAGTTGATGCCATCATTAATGAGAATTCCAGGGAGTTCTTGTGCCTTTTTTGTGCCATATAACATTACATTGAAAAGTCAGCAGGTTGCAATGGATGAGGGCCCTTACCAGATCCCAACCATACCACATCTCATCTTGGATTTCTAGTCTCTAGAGCTGTAAAAAATAAATTTCTGTTCTTTATTACCTACCCAGTCTATTTCATTATAGCATCCTAAACCAACTAAGACTATCTTAATTAAAAGGAAAAAGACTCTTAAACATATCCTTAACATACATCCCAGAAATCATACTTCTGGGAATTTATCTGAGAGAAATGAAAACTTATATCCATGAAAAAAACTACCCATAATTCTACTCATCAATAAAAAGGAGTGAACTAATGATACAAGCAACAACTTGGATGGCTCTCAAAGTCATTATTTTGAATGAAAAAGACTATCTCAAAAGATCACATGCTATATTCCATTATTAAGTAACATTCTTGAATTGTCAAAATTACAGTGATGGAGAGCAGACTAGTGATTTCTAGGAGTAGGGATAGCAGTGGCAAGGAGGAGAATGGATGTGACTATCAGAGGGAGTGGCTCAAGTGGTAGAGTGCCTGGCTAGTGGGTGTTGAGGCCCTGAGTTCAAACCTCAGTGCTGTCAAAAAGCAAGGTGGAGGAGTGAGGCAGCAAAGAGACATCTTTGTGGTGATGGGACAATACAATGTTTTGACATGAAATGATGCATGTGATAAAATGACAGAACTATACACATAAGACATAACAAAATGATCATGTAGGGTATTGTTTGCTAAGTAAATGATCGAAGATGGAAAAAAATTTCACTCAAAAAACTGTAAAGTCTAGGATGATTCTATAAGATAACTCAATTATGAGTTCTCTGAAATAAGCAACAAACCTGACACCTGTAGCTCCCAGGTAGCCTCCTGGCTATATGTCTGTGAGCCAAACCAGCACCCGTATAGGCCAGTATCTGAAAGAGTGACTTTCTTCAGCCTCAGGAACACATGCCCATTCATGATGAAGTCCTTCACCAAATTTGTTCTCCCTTGAAAGACTGGCATCTGCATATAGTTCTGATCTTTCCCATCCCGGAAGAGGTGGACCACAGCACTCAGCTCTTCCTTGAAGAACCTCACTTCCATGGCCTCTGCATTTATCTCAGGCGAGATGAAGCAGGGGACTATTACATCCTCTCCCACCAAGACCTGGATGGGCTTGTCAGGCCCAACCACCTGCCACTGCCCTGTGGGAAGAAAAATAACCCAAATAACTGATGACACATAACAGAAATTCCCTTATCAATATATCCTACTCAGACCTGGAGTGCAAGGGGGTGGAACACTTAGTACAATGTCCCTACTAAACCAAGGGACTCATAGCTATGACTCATGTCTCCTTACACTTGACATATCTTCATCAGGTACTTCACTCAGCCCTCCCAAACATCCATAAAGATGTATATTATTAATATTCTCATTTTCAAGGTAAAAAACTGTTTCAGGGACACTAAGTATGTTACCCACACAAATGAAAGACACTTTCCAAATGCAGACCTGCTGACTAGAGGACATTTTATACCCACATTCTCTCCCTTCTGCCTGTCTGCTTCACTAAAACTTACAACAGCCCCTTTCCAATTTTTTAACTAAAAATAAAGGACTGCCCCTTTTGCAATGACCCATGGGGAATGGGTATGACCATAAATCTTCAGGTTGGGCCAGTTTCTTTCCTTCATACATGTGATTAAATTTTGTTTCAATGGGAGAATGCACACACTTTGACCATCAGTCTAACCTTGTATTTGTGCTTCCTTGTTTTATTTACTTGGTCTGTTAAAATATGAAAGATGCACTATGACATTGTGAGAAGGAGATTTTCCAGTTTATATTTTAGAGCTTTCTTCTTAGTGCATTTATACTGTGGCATAATCTTTGTATAGCATGTACTTTTTACACTTAAACAGTATTTTTTCCATGTTGTGATTCTGGCATTCAATAGTACTTGATTTGACACTTCACTGACAAGTCTTACCTTCATTTTCTTCATATGTTTTTGGTCCTCATACACATGTTGTCCCTCACCTTCATTTTAAAACTTTTTTCATCATCTGGTTACAAGGATTTAAAATTGATTTGTTTTCTGGAAATTTTTCTCTCAGCTATGTGGGCAGGGGCTATTTTGCACAGAATTGCATCCCATGTCTAGCACAGACCACGAGCTTCACAAACAAGGGCTACATGTGTGAATGATGAGCACCATTTTCCTTTCTCATTTGCTCATCTATTTTGTGATCATTTCAGTAACTTTCTTGATATAAATCACACTTACCGCTCTGTAATAGTTTCCTATTTAGAGAGACAACATATTATAGAGACTCCCTCCCTTCAACTTCTGTGAACACAACCCCTTTGACTGGGGACATGTTCTCTTGATTAATTTTAAAACATTCACTTACCAATTTTTTCATTTAAGTGTGTGGGAGGGTGTATATGAATAGGAGGCAAAACAGGTTTTATGTGTGAGTTCCCAAATAAGTGAAAAAATTTTATTTTAGCACAAGTATTTCTTAATTTAAGCATGTCTTACTGAATTTCACACATTCTTGAAGGAGACATGAACTGTGGCTTTGTAGCATGGTCTCTGACCAACTGACCTGGAATAGCAGAGGTTAAGGCCCTGCCCCTTACCATGCATTCAGTCTCTTTGTACCCCACAGTAGGATGGGCACACTCCACAGTTGCTGATGGCTCCACCCTAGGAAACTGGCCTCTCCCCTCTGCTAAGGCCTCCTCTCCCATTGGGAACTTAGTGATCCCAGGGGTAAGCAATTCAGAAATCCTGAGATTTTAATAACCTTGAGGGCATCCCTATAATGAATGGGAAGCAACAGATGAAGTTCAAACTCTTCTCATTCTGATTGAGATGATGCTAAAGCACTACATGCTAAAATCCTATAAAGGTTCCCCAAAAGTTTCCCAGTGGGCCTGAGTCCCAGTTGTTGCTCATTAGCACACCTTCCATGGTTTCAGAGTTCACTCTCCCAACCACTCATTTTGTTTCTCAGAATCATCTCCTAAACAAACCACCTGCAAACCAGCTCATGTCACTGGATCTGCTTGGGGGAAGCTGGGATGCTGTTAGTGCTGCCTGCAGGGTTGTGAAGGGCTCCTGAGCTGAGGGAAAATATTTCAGAATGTCTCTATTTTCTCTGGTCAGTCTTTGCTGCTGTCATTTGCCTTGCCTGTAGCAGAAACTTCCACTCTTCACTTTTGCTTCTACTGGGGAGCACTGAGGAAAAATGGTGATGGACACACTGTACACCAAGGGAGTTGTACACTATGTGCTTTTCATGCACAAACTCATGCAGTCTTCTGATAGTCCTGTCAGGAATGTGATACTAACTCCATGTCAGAACAAGCAAACTGACACTTGGAGAAGTTATAAGCCACAAAGCTCATAGGCAGAGGAAAGGGGAAAGTTAAAAAATGAAGTTTTCTTGCTTCTGTGTCATTTTCAGGATTCCCTGCTGCCTCTCCTGAAACCAGAAAGGAGGCAAAGCAACTCATCAGGAAATGGATGAGAATGGACTTAATTAGAGGTTCTCTTAAGAGTACATGTATAGTTGGTGTGATGGAGCAGGCCTGTAATACCAGTTACTCAAGAAGTATAGACTGGGAAGATTGTGGTTTGAGGCTACCCAGGGGGTTAGGAGGAATAGAAAACAAGACATATTTCAGCCAACAAACCAGAAAGCTGATATCTAACTGTAATCTCATCCATTTGAGTGGTATAGCTAGGAAGATAAAGTATAGGGCTGGCCTGGGCAAAAAGTGTGAGACCATAACCCCCAAAACAATTAAAAGCAAAAATGGGCTGGGGACACGGCTTAAATGGCAAGCACCTGTGGACATGGCTCAAGTGTTATAATACCTGCCTAGCAAAAGCACAAGCCCCTGAGTCCAAACCTCAGTATTTCCCCTGCAAAGAAATGCATAGATTTTGTTGTGAAAACAGAGTGTATGTTTTTAAAGTTATGGAATCAGCCTAGGTGCCTGTCAACAGATGAAAGAATAAAGAAATGTGATATATATTCACAATGGAGTTGTATTTAGCTATAAAGAAATATGAGATTATATTATTGTCAGGAAAATAGATGGAACTAGAAATTGTCATGCTAAAAGAAATAAACCAGAAAGACAAATAACAAATGTTTTCTCTCATATGTGGAACTGGGGAGAGAAGCACGTGAAAATAAAAAGAGGAACTGGTAAGGATGTGGTGGGAGGAGGAAGAGCATGGAGGTGGTAAGTATGATCAAAGTCTGTTATAATCATGGATGAAAATGTAATGAAATCCTTCATTTATATAATTAATTATGCTAGTAAAAAGTCCATGTTTTAAAATTATTTTTAGTATTTTAACTGTACATATTTGTAATTTGCTGTGTGATCATTTGATGCATGTATACAAGTATACTGACAAAAATCAGAGTAATTTACATTTCCCTTTCCTTATAATTACTTTGCATTTGGAGACTTCAAGTTCCTTTCCTCCAGTCATTCATAAAATATGTAGTAGGTTTTTATAAATTATAATCACACTATTGTTATGTAGAGCAAGGTTTTTTTTCCTTTGGTACTGGGGTTTGAACTCAGGGCCCTCACCTTGAAGCACTCTATCAGACCTGTTTTTGTGAAGGGTTTTTCAAGATAGGGTCTCATGAGTCATTTTTCCCTGGCTGGCATCAAACCATGAACTTCTGGATATCCACTTCCTAAGTAGCGAGGATTATAGGAGTGAGCCACTGGTGCCTGGCTAGAGCAAGTTTGAATGCCTTTGTTCCCCCTTTCTTATTGTTGTTTAGCTAAACAGATATAGGTCTTCTATAGAGAGAAGATGAGGATTCATCTGAACTTTATACTGCTGAACACTGACTGCCCAGAGACCTGTGCCTACTCAAAATTCCTCTGATTTTTTTGTTCAACTACTCCATGTCTTATGAAGTAGGCTTTGTATTGAATAGTAACTGGAAGGAGAAATAAGATTGGATTTCTGTCCCAACTAAGCCAGATATCTAGTCAAAGATCTAGAGATCTTTTTCACCCTCAGATTTCATATCACAGGGCTTCCTAACTCAGCATGTCCTGAGTTTGACCATTGTTTTTTTCTTAAAAGCACCAGTGTCTTCTTCTGCCTATGCACTGATCTTAGAAGTCTAGGTTTTCTAGATTTCCCTTGCTTAACCCCACACATGCAATTAGGAACAAACACCTAATACCTTCACCTCAGCGTCCTTTGTGTGTGCCCTCCCCACTACTACAGCCCTCTTCAACATTCCACTCACAGCATTTCTAGGCTGCTCTCATTGTATCTACCATGCCTAAGTCCTTCCCACTGCCCTATGCCTCCCATAGCTCCTTGGTATTGGTAATTTCCAGGCTGTGTTTAAGAAAAGCCAGGAAAATATAAGCATCACAGATATGCCTACCTCTTTGTTCTGCACTAGCAAGTAGAGAACTCAAACTGTTAGTCAACAGTAAGGGACAGAAGAGGCTGTCCTGGATAGCTTACCTGACCCCAGCTTCAGGAGACTGACAAGCAACATGAGCACGAGAGCCATGGATGTGTTCCAGAGGGATGATTTCTTGTTATGAAAACCAGACGCAGCAAGATGGATGGATACTTTAATTAGAGACAGAGGAACCAGGCTAGCTGTCCCAGGGTCAGGAGTTATGGAGGGGCTCATTTGGAATTGACGGTAAATTGTTCTGTTCTTCTTGTAGCCTCCCTCATATCAACATGGTTGCATGTGTTAGAAATATGAGGACTCTGGACTTTTAATCTTTGCATTTATTGGCAGGCCATAAATTTCTATCTCAAACCAGAAAATGAAGGTAGAAATAGGGTGGTGCACACTGAGAGGGGACTTTGTCCTGGTTTAGGTCTGTACCATGAGTGGTGGAAGAGAAACGTCAGATGCAAGGTTATTTTCTGGCAGGGAGAGGTTTGTGAGGGTAGGGGCAGAGATCTAGTCCTAAAGGAGAGGTCACCCAGGCAAAGGGTAGTGGGGTCTTAGACAAAAAGGTGGAACTTTGTGTGGTTACTGAGGTAATCCTGCCCCATTGTTTTTTATTTTCTTGGGTTCAGAGTCTGACCATGAGACCAGATAGGTTTCTTGAAGTCAAGAGACTCACAGTATTGGGAAAGAATCTAATGCAGGTTCACACATAGAGAAAAGATGAAGATGCTTTTATTAGTCATTCATTAAATGCAGTAAGCCAGGACATCCGTGATTAGCGATGGTCGTCCTTGTAAGCACAAGGAAACTTGCAATGATTGACCATTTACTAGATCAGAAAGTGTGTTTCTACGGATACTACCACAAAGAACATATTCTTTTATTGCAATTAAATTAAGGAAAGAACCAATTAAAAAACAGGAAACCCTACACAATAAGAAATCATTGATTTTTCAATTTTAATAACTTTAAATCTTTTAATTTAAAAAAAATTCATGGATCTAAAAGAAATCACAATAAAAGCTAGAATAAAAAAGGAATGAAAAATATATTTGGCTGAAGTTTAGAGCCTTGGCAATGCCAACATTTGGCAAGGATGTGGTGAAATAAAATTCTCATTCCCTGCTGGTGGGAATAAAAGGTACAGTCACTTTGGAAGACAGTTTGGTCATTTCATGCAAAGCTAAACATGCCATATGATTCAGCAATCATTCTCTTTGATATTTACCCAAATAAGTTGAAAATATATGCACACAAAAACTTGCACACAATGTTATAGCTGATTTAG